CTGCTCAAGACTGCTACTCCGTAAGGAGATGTATCTCCCCAGTGTTCAACCAATGATTATACATTTATTCCTAAGGGTATGATATTCTTTCCCAGGTTATCACAAATCCACAAAAGTGCGATGTGGAATGGAATGTGGCTGCATACATGTTAACAGTTGCCTATCAGATATTTCTATACCATACCTTATGATTAGCAACATTACTCTCCCACACATGCATATCATCCCCCTCCAAAAAACAGAACAGAACAGAACCCTGTCCTGAATACCAACACTATCATTAAAACGAAATGTGAGGGTTTTTTCCTGAGTTTAATTGGCATGTCCAGTGAGATCCCAAGCATTAACCCTCCCCTCGCTGCAATTTGTGTCTCCCCACAATTTAAGGGCACTTAAGTTTTTGGGGAAAAAAATCCTCCAGTATGACTGGAACCATTTATTCTATGCCTAAATGCATGTGTGAGGAGCAATTTTTCTCTAGGAAGAAAAGTGGGGGAAGAAATAACAACAGATTGCAAATTAATTGGAACTGAAGATGAACTACTAATTTGGGATGATCTGGGTCCAGGTGCAAATTAATTAAAACCTTTTATGTCACTCCATGAAAAATTAAATAGCTGGCTAATATAACAACTTCATACAGCTGTAATAAACAAATTGTGGATGAAAGCAATGCTTAACGCTTAGTAATTAATTAAGACTTTCTCATGCAACTTTTCAAAATATCCCACCAACTTAATGTAGCTTTAACACGAAATCCTACATGCATGTATTGGAGTCAGGGATTGAAGAAAAGCCAAGGCATGTTAATGCTGCAGGAAACATTAAATGCTGGTAAGCATGCTGGGATGCACGTACTTGCAATTATGTCGGAAAGCGGTTGATGGAAAGGCAGGGTTCACTGCAGGTCACGTGCCACTTAAGAACCCCCCCCCCACAACCACCCCAGATTAGTATGCTACTGAGGAATCATTAGGAAAGGTAAGTCTCAAGACGAATGGTCGAAGTGGATTGAGGAACAGGTTCTGTATGTTACAAACCCTACCTGACAGAGCAGCTTCCTACAACTTTGTATCCCCAGATGAGTTAGGCTACAACTCCTATCACCCTGACCAGCAACAGTAATAACTGGCTATGATTTTGCTTTTTGTTTTTAAAACAACATTCAAATGTTAATGACCAACAAAAAACAAACTGATTTTAAATCTAGTTGTTGATGGAGGGTAAGTACATTTAACATGTTTCCTCTTTGCATACAAAAATATGGGAAGAATCCATTGCCTGCTTGGAAGTTTTCTTTATGGGTCTCCATAAAAAATTATATTTAGTCTTTCCCATAATCTGAGGAAAGCCATTAACAAATATTGCTACATATGTTTTTCATTAAATAAAACCATGCCATGTTTGATTATTTTAAAGAACAGGCCATTCGATTTTACCTTTAGCTACCTTCAGTTCATATATCAATTTTTCTGCCATGGCTATTTGCCATCGTTCTAAGTACTGTATCAAGATTTCAGTGTTAGAAGCTCTGCAAGCTGCCATCAGCATGAATGCAAAGATACCACTTTTGCATCTTGTTCTTCCCAAGCAGAGCTAATGTCAAGATAAGATACATAGTCTGATTTGTAATATTTACAGTTTTTTATACCAAAATCCTTCGCAAACTGATGCAATCACATTTTGCATGGCCCTTACATCATGCAAGAGTACCAGCTGAGTTTGTCTCTTGTGGGAAGGGGGACAAACTGAAGAGTGCGACCCTATACACCTTACGACAGAAAAAAGTCCCAGCACTGGACCTGAAGGCATATTGATAGCTCCCCTACTGTGTCTAGGATTGCTGGTTATCAATCAAGAGACAGGTTCTGTGATTTTTATGGCCCTACACAGTGAAAGAGAATATGGCTGCTTCCTTAATGACCCAACCTTAAAAAAGGTTCTGTTTGCACCACAACATACATTTTATAGTATCTTTAAATCAAGCAGCATCCAGCTTTTACAGACAGTAAGCCTGCTACCCCATCTGCACCCTTCCAGCTGGGCTTGGCTTTGCAGCCCTGATAACATTGTACTGGGCTAAGAAAGTTAGTCTTTACTGCCTTACTTCCTCCTGGCAGTTTTAACTGCCAAAATGAAGCAAAGGCCACCTTTCATTTATGGCTTTTTCCCTCTTATGGATAAAACCCTAGGAGACAAGGCATTCTGTTGAAACCAGGAAGCATTCCTTAGTGCCTTGTTCTCCTAGACCAGAGGTAGGCAACTTACAGTAGTATCCATTATTAGTCCTATGTATGCTCAATTAAATGAACAGGACTCAAGTCAGTCATGACTAACTTAACTCCAAGTCATTTCAGTTGGTCTACTTTATGTAGAATTAACATCTTGGTGCACTTCAGTTGTTTTGGCCTGTAGCTCCCATAACCCCCACCCAGTACGCCCAATAGCCAGGGAATATGGGAATCATAGTCCAAAACATCTGGAGGGCAACATATTTTCTATGGGCAATAGGATGGTAGGTGAAGAGGAAACCTGTGGCCTTCTGGACATTTTGATCTAAGATTCCCATCATCCCTCATGCTTGTTTATGCTGGCAAGGGTTGATGGGGGTTGTAGGCCATTTGGGAGGGTCACAAGTTGCCCTGTGCAACTTGGAGAGAAGGATATGAGCTGATAAAGGCTGTAACTGAGCAGAATGGGGCTTGCAACGTGAGATGCTGCCTGGGGATTCTCAGTAGCGTGTATATACTCCTAGCTGCACTGAGGAACGGCAGTGAGGGAAGAGTAATGCAGGTGGCATCCTGTCAGACCTCCCCTCCTCACCCAGAACTGTTTCCTGGAGGGGCCAAGTAAAGGGTGTCTGGCTCCCACTTCAAAATTCGTGCCATTTCCTTTCTTTTTAGCAGCCAGGTGGGGTGCTCTACAACAGGTATATCAAAAGGTATGCCTGTAGGGCTCTCCCCAGGCTTTGGGCTGTCATTTGCAACTCCTTCATTGGTATTACTTTCCTGGCAGCCTAAACCGTTAAGCAGGAAGACAATTAAGAGATTAAGCTGGAGGAGGAGTGTGTCTCCAGAGGCCTTGCTGTTGCCAGACTAAAAGGGTTCTCTGGGAGCCCCTCCCAGGGTGCTAATATCTAATGAGGGACAATGAATTCTCTCCTTTGTAACCTGGGTCCACGGCAGTAAAAGGCATGTGTATGTACACATGCAGTATGTACTTCTGTCTTCTGACTTGAGATGAGAGTAAAAAACAAAAATAGCTTTTGTATCCAGGGTTCTAGGACTCTGTACTTAGCATCTCATCCAATTCAAGCTGTTCCTGAATTCGTCCTCTGAATGCTTAAGATCTCTAGAGGCACTGGCTGAACTGTTCTCTCCAGCCACAGCAGGTTTGTGCTCTTGTACTGAAGGGCAATCGGGAGGGCATGAATATGTTATCTTGCATCTACTCTACTGTCAACAGACCAGGACTTCCAGGAACTGAGGCTGGGCATTAGTCAGCTATTGAGGAAGGAGGAAGGAGAACAGTCTGAGAAAAACAGAAGGAAAATATCAAAGGGCTCAATCTTATGCAAGAAGCCATAGAATGGCCATCAGGTTTAACATCCTGCTCTTGCAGGACACCAATTTGCACCATCCCACTCAGAGGATGATCCAGTTTCTTTTTGAATGTTTCTAGTGTGGGAGAGTCCACCGCCTCTCCAAGTAACCGGCTCCACTGCCACATTGCTCTGACAGTGAGGAAACTTTTCCTGATATCTAGCCTGAATCAGGGTTGTTGCAACTTGTGTTGATTATTCTGTGGCCTACATTCTGGTATGAGCGAGATCTTGTCCTTCCTCTTTATTACAGCCTTTCAGGTACTTATACAGTGTTATCATGTCCCCTCTCATAAGTTGCATTAACTTCCTATATTTACCAGCCAGTCAGGTCAGATGCAGGCAGGCCAACTGGGGATAATGGAACTTTTAATGCTGCCTTCTGTTTAAGCATGCATAACATCTTGCTCTTGGTAATTTACTGAGTAAAAGCGAGGTTTAGGAAGTAACAAAGTGAGATGCACTCAGTTACTTCCCAAGACATAGGCTTTAGGACTGAAAGAGCTAGAAACCGAGCTAGTCATCGAATTCCAATAGTGGAGGAAGTAATGGAGACGTTTCCTCGCAGATCTCACTTTACAGCTAGCCGGAGATACCAAAGAACCTCTCCCCGCGTGGGCCAGAAAGCAAAGCCCGGAAATCTAGCCGATTGAGCTGGTCCAAAGCATTCTGCTGCGTCAAGTTAGCGCACTGCAGGATCCAAGATCATCCCGAAGGTCGAAGGAAATGCTGAAGCAGCAAAGTCCGACATCCACACGCTTTATTCTGCGCCAGCCAGAGGAGGCACCGGATCAATAGTGGCCTAAATGCGGACTTGTGTTTCCTGAACCCAAAGCGCCTGCCGCTTTTCAGCTGCCCCCGTCCCGCGCTTTTTCAATAAATCGCGCCAGAGGGCTCTCGCTCGTTCTCGACAGCATCGGAGGCTTAGCAAGGCAAAGGGCCCTCTTGGCTCAAAGTTGTCACTACAAGCGCCTCGCAAAGGCTTCTCCCCCTTTCCTTTTCTTGGCTCCAACGTCCAAGAATAAAGTCGCTTCTCGAAGCGCTTTGCCGGCTTCCTTTCTCCTGGCTCTCGGGGGAGAGAAGCAGATGTTAACCGCGTCGATCTCGGACCCACTTTACTTGCAGCTGAGCCGAAGCAGAGGACTCTGCCCGTTTGCTGGGGCATCGCCCACCGCATTCCCACCCACGAACATTTGCCCCTAAACCTTCCGGAGACGGTAGGGTGAAGCGGAGGAAGAGAAAAAGAGAGCGCAGGGTGAAAGGGAAGGACTACGCGCTCTGCACATGCTCCTTGGCACCTTCTGCTGTACTATTGGCTCGCTCGCTCGCTCGCGCGCGCGTGCGGAGGATGAGCCCGGGCAGTTTGCCAGCGGCCGCGCGCGCGCGCTCGAGCACTTACGTCTTGCCCTTCGCCGTTTTGGCGCGTGCGGAGGTTTCCTTCTGCCTTGCTTGATGGCTCGGCCGGTCTGAACGGAGCTCGGTCCCCGGGCGCCTGAACCTGCGGCGGCGGCGGACGGTCGAGCTACCCCTGCTCAGCAGCCTTCCCCCCTCTTTTCTTTGGCGCTCCGCTTGTTCCGCCAGCAAACTCCTTTCTCTACTAGGAGTGGCTGGTCCGAGTTGGCTGCTCAGGGAGTCCCCGCCGCCAGCGGGATGACGCCCCTGTACGTCTGGATGGGAGAGCACAGCTGTGTTTCCCCAGGCTCGGCGAGGCGGAGGAGAAGGGACGACGTTCGCGTCGCCGCCGCGGGCTTTGATTGTGAGTTCGCAGGAGCCACATCGCCTGGAGGCGGAGCTTCGTGGCCGAGCACCTTAAAACTCCCTCGCTGGTCATGCAAAGAAGGCGATTGCGAAGCGAGGAGTGTGTGGACGCTTGAGGTGGCTGAACATGAACGGGACGGAGCTGGGATGTGCGATCCAGCCTGTTTTCCTTGGCGCTCGACCAGGCTACAGACAGGCCGGACCCAGACTGGGTCTTCCTCAAAGGTAACCGTGCCATGTGTGGGTGCTTCCTTCGCACTAATTGGGCACGACTGGACCATGGCATGAAATCAACGTCATTGTGGCCACAGTGAGTGGGCAGCACTGAGAGAAACTGCCCTTCGTTTTACTTTTGCACTTTTCCGAAACCTGATTCACACAGGCAAAGGGACAGTGTGGTTGCCCATAAAACATTTACACTGTATGTTTCCATAAGCAAAACAGCAAGAGGTATTAATCTTTCTGATACTTACATGCCATGTATACCTTCCAATCCCTATGCTTAATCTGAATGAATCTATTTCTTGCACACTTCTATGTTAATTCAAAATTATACTTTCTTTAAATTATGCTGCTTCATATAATCACTGAAATGATCCAGAAGCTAGGAAGGAGGTCTCCCTTGGGGATCATTACTCTGCCCTAGTGTATAACTTAGCTGCTTAGAGGGCCCTAAGGCCAATTTAGAGAAATACAAGTTTAATAAATAACATAACTTTTGCGATTTTGCAGTGCACCTCCAACACAATGTCAAGCCTATTTCTGTAGTCTTAAGGACTAGAAGCTTGCTCTTTATTTTAGAAATGCAATCTGATATTACATAAGAACTTGAAAAGAGCATCAGGAGCCATCTGTTCTGTTTACACAGTGGCCAGCCAGCTGTTCCCAGCAGAACATGACTGCAACAGCTTCCTCCCACTGGTGTTTCTTGGCAACTGGAATACAGAATTGCCTCTGATCCTGGAGGCAACTTTTAGCCATCCTTGCTAGTAGCCATTGGTAGCTTCGCCATGAATTTGTCCAATCCCTTTTTAAAGTCCAAATCACTGTCCCTCACAACATCTTGTGGAAGTGAATTCTACAGTTTACTTGTGTTCTGTGTTAAAAAGTGCTTCCTTTTATCTGCCTTGAATCTCCCACCACTCAGCTTCACTGAATGACCCGCATCCTTGTATTTATCAGAGAGGAGGAGAGGGGTCTTTCCATTCACTTTCTCCACACCATGCATAATTATGTGCCTCTGTCATATCTCCCCTTACTTGCCTCTTGCTAAGCAAAAGAATTGCAAGTGTTGGAACTTTTCCCCACAGGGGAGCTGCTCCCTCCCCTTGATCACTTTGGTTGCCATTTCCTGCACTCAATCAACACTCATATTCTCGGGATCATGAAACGTATGCCTAATATCCAAATTTGTGCTTGCGTAATGCAACCACAGAATTGCAGAATATACTCATCCTAGATAAAAAAATACATACAGTCATGAAGAAATAATGGTTTAGCTTTTGAATTTAAAAAAAGGCAAATAAAGGGAGGCATTAAACAGGTGTTCAAAATTATGTGTGGTAGAGAAAAACTGAACAGGGAGATGTCCTTGTCCTTCTCTTATAATATTAGAACCAGAGTTGTCATACTAGCAGTGAGCCAACTTGCCACCTTTTGGACCTTTGTGCTAGACTCCTTTGCTGCTCTTTTTGGGAGGGGGAATTTTCTGCTGTGAGAGAAACCACCACCAGAGTTAGCAGAGGGGAATAAAGCTCTCCTAGATCAATATCCATTCTGAGCCAGTGCTGTCTGTTTTCCTGGGGTGCCTCGTACCTGCTAGGGCCCAAAGTGGGGTAGTGTCAATGCCAAGGACTACTCCTCCAATATCTTGATGAATTAAGACATGGGGGGAGAGCTGGCTCACTCTTAGGGCCTGGGTTTGTGCCTGGGGTCAGGTGGGGGACAGTGGGAGCCTCTGTTAGGGTAGGCACAGGTGCTGGGAGGAGGGCTAGCCAGGTAGGTAGAACACAGTCCAGGCACTTAACTCTTCTCCAGGGAGTCCTTCCTTCTCATTAGGTGGCCAAAGTATTTGAGCTTCAGCCTCTCTCAGCCGTGCCCACTGGGGTATTTGGTTCAGCACTGGGGCAGACATGAGAACCAGGGAGTGGACTTCCCATGATCCATAAGGAATCTCTCACTCAGCTCTCTGTCCATCTGACTACTGGTTTGGTTTGTGTTGGGCTAGCGGAACAGATTGGGGATTCTGCTGGTGAACCACCTGCGGCGACGCAACTGTTTTCCTACTGAGATGAGAGTGGTCTCAGGCCTGCAGGCTGTAGGTTGGCGGGGGGTGGCATTAATATTCATGCTGAGTGCACCCTGTCTTGGGATTTCATATCCTCCATGACAACCTTAACGTATCATCCAATCAATATAAGTAGGAGGGCGCATAATATATCTATTTTTTCCAGCCAGGCATGGAAGTGGTGGTCTGAATTCAGTCCCTCTGTTGAGGCTTAGACAATGTCCCCCACCCTGCAAGCGTGGGGGACCTATTAAGATGTTCAGCTCCTGGAGACTAAAGGATCGGATGGTACAGGTGGCACTCCCATCAGGCCTTTGGTCAATTTGCACAATGCAGAAATAACCCAGGAGGGTTGGTTGTATCAAAACTGTTCTAGCTGCACAGTTTGTTTTGAATTGTTTTAGGTTTTGTTTCTTTGAATCTGATGTTGTTTTTGTTACTTCATGTGAACCACCCAGAGAGCTTTGGTCAGTTGGTTGGTATAGAAATAAATAAATAAATAAATGAGCTTGAATGGTTGGAGAATCAAGATGGTTGAAAAACTTCTTCACTTAGTGCATAGACTATGTAGTCACTATCATGATATGCATAGATGGCCGCAAGCTTGGAAGTGTTTAATGAAGGGCTGAAACAAATTCATGGAGGCAAAGCACTCTCAGTGGCTATTAGCCACAATGACTATGTATTACAGCTGGCATCTGAGTCACTATGCTTTTGAATATCAGCTTGTGAGTAACATGACCAGGAAGGAGCTTCTGAACTCATATGCTGCCTGTGGGCTTCCCACAGAAAGCCGGCTGACTATTGTGAGAAAAGAGAGCTGGACTAAGTTAGGCCGTTGATCTCATCCAGCAAAGTTCTTGTTCTGCTCTTACCTCTTTTCAGTCGGTTTGCATTAGGCCCTGCCCTCCTCTCCTGTAAAAGATTTTGCATGTATTAGCTTTGCTTCCCGAACCAGGACATGACAGTCAAATTGGGGTGGAGAGCTGGTTGCAACCATGTTGGTGGCAAGGTGATCTGTCTGAGCACACCTAGGAGCATAGAGCTCCCCGCTTCACCTGGCTGCAGGTGAAAGAAGGTGTGTTGTGTTTGTAGGTGATATGGCAGTGCCTCTGAAAGGCTGTATTGACTCTCTCAGGGGTTTCTTACTCTCCTCTGCATGCAACCTTCCCTGATGTAAACAACGCATATAGTCTCCGCTTTCCAGGAACAGCTTAGCTGTGGGTGTGGGACCTTGTCACTTGTCACACACAAGGACTCACGGAGCTACATCCTTTTCCCATCCCACCCCTGCCATATTTTGTGTACCTAAATAATAAACCCTGATCCATTTTAACTCTAGTGAGGTGTTTTCAGCTTAGCTTGATATACCAACTGTAACTCTAGCTGTTCAGAGATAGCTTTGCAACATATATCCACGCTCTGGTAATCTCCTGGTTGATTATTGTCATGTGCTGCAAGTGTGGATACTTTTGAAGGCGTTTTAGAAACGTCAGTTAGCGCAAAATAATGCTGCTAGGTTACTAATTGGAGCTGGCAGATTTGACCTTGTGATGCTAGTGTTTCATCAGCACCACTGGCTTCTAGTCCATTTCCGTAACTGATATATTGGTGTTTACCTTCACGCTCTAAACAGCCTGGGACCAAAAATCTAAAGGTATCTTTCCTCTCACATGTACCTGCTCAGACCCTGCCAAAGGAAGCTAGGCGGGTAGCTTATAAGAGAATATGCTTACAGAATATGCTCTCCAAGTAGGTTCACCTGGCAGGTACACTAGTAACTTTCTGTTGCAAGGCAAAGACCTTATCTTTTCTCGCAGCCATTTTTAGAGAATGAGATTTTGTAAGAGTGTTATGCTGTTTTTTCACTGTGCTGATTGTTGTTCACCATGTTGTATTTTATTCTTCTAAGTATATTATTTTTGAAATTCTTTTAAAATGAGATTTTAGTTTCCTTAACTGATTGTATATTGCCGAGAGAACATCAGTTACTGGGCAGATAAGAAATAAATAAATTGTGTAGTTCAGCTTCCAGCCTCATCTAACTCATTCAGATGCTCTGGGTGACCATCAGCACCACCTGCTGGTGGATAAGGGTGTTGCATAGCACATTTTCCCATCTGCAGTATGATTTGGTGCAATTATTGCCATCTTGCAGATCTTTTAAAAGACATTTTAAGTTTCACAGAGCCATGTGTACAATTCTACTTTTCTACCATACCGTTGAAGACAAACAAAATGACACTGAGAAACCTGAGAGCTCTCTTCTTGACAAGTTCTGGTAACTGCTAACACTGTATAAATCTGGGATTCACTTCAGATTGTGCTACAATTAAAAGGAGGTCTGAGCCCCAGAGCCTGAGAGTGCCATGCTCAAAGTTCAGGGTACACAAATCCATGGACATGCTCCATTCACCAACAGAACAACTAATGATTATCCCAACAGACTAACCAGTGATGATCCCAGTGTGCCATTTTGAAGGACATTTAACCTCAGAAGGAAAGGGTAATACCTTGATTGCACCTTTCCGCAAGATTGTATGCATTATCCCAACTCAAGGTCTCTCACTGGGCTTACAGTGGGCCATTAACAGAGTAAGAGCTAACCCCATCCCGCCAGAGTCAGGCGATGTCCTGAGCTCCAGATCTTTTCACAGCAGTCTCCTAACATCGTAGGCAGTACTCCTATGGCCATGCACACTCAACAGCATTATTCCCTAATTTTATTTTTCATAAGCAAATTGTCTGTGATTTTGGTGGTGCAAAATCTTCTGTGCCTAGGAGTCAGAGGTTGTAAATGGATATTGTTTCTGCAGCTCCAGGATCCGGATCAGAACGAGGCAAGCAATCCCAAAAAAAAACAGCCACAACAAAGCCCAGTAGTAAGTAGGCATAGAGAACCAGGTTCTGCAGAACTCCATGTTAGATCTTTTGAACCTGCAAAACATAATTTTAAAGAAGAATCATCCAGTGAAATCAGTCAGCTCTCAAACTGATGTCCCACCTCCAAATGGGAAGCTCAAACCCTATCACCCTGGTCTGAAGATGTTTCTACTTTTCATATGATATTCCCATTATTTCTTAAGCTGCATTATCAGTATTTGCAGGCTTGTATCTACTCTTCACCAAAGAAAAATTAAATTTCTAACAAATTTCTATGCTCCCCCCACAAAAAAATCTGAATGCTGCAACATGTGCTGATGGCGCACATTGACATTTATGTGTGTCTTTTATATCATTTACTTTCTCTGTAGCCATAAGGCAGCGGCCAGAACCCTTGAACTCATGGATACATTTGGGAATATGGAAAACATCTGTGAACACCATGACAAGATGGTTTGGCACAGGGGATGTGGCTAATCTATAGGGGCTGCTCTGGTTCCTCGACTAGTCAAAGGTGAGCTGAAGAGGTGGGAGAAAGAAACAGAGAGGCTGGAGGGAACTAGGAAGGCAAAGAGGTAGAGGAGAGAGAAAGAGCAAGGCTAGAGACTGGAAGTGGGGAGGGAGGGAGGGAAAGAAAGAGAGCTAAGGAGAAAGGTGTATGTTGGTACAAGAAGACTGGGAGGAACTGAAAGCAACTCTTTCTCTTTGCCTCCCTACAAGTACGTGATCTGCAGAGGGAACAAGAAGGAAAACCTGGCACACCCTAACACTTCAAAGTTTGTATCGAAAATAAATGAGAGAGTCAAGGAGTGAAAGATTTCATGCGTACAACTGTCATAAGGGCTAGAAATTTGTTTTGGTTTTTACTGATTTTTAAAAGATTGTCCTAAGGTTCTCAGAATGGTGTATTCTGCACCTGCTCCCTAATGATTTGTTGGCACAGAAGCAAAGAGATAAACAGGTGAAAAGACACTGTATCGAACTAGTGGAGTCTATAATCCAGCAACTTGTTTCTCGGAGATAATAGCACTCACTCCCGCTGTTGCACCCAACAGCCACTGCTTCTGACCCCGGAGGCTGCATATTGCCCTTGTGACTAGTAGCCATCAACAGATTTGTTATCTATGAATATGTCACCTCTCCTTTCCAAGCCATTCAAGTGTGTGGCCCTAATATTATAAAAGGAAGAATGGCATCCTTTTGTCTTGCCAATCAATCTTGCCCTCAAGTTCTAGTATTTTGAGGAAGAGTGGAAAAATTAACTTTCCACTTTCTGCACACAATGCATCATTTACTAACTTCTTTCATAGACTTCCCCAACCTGGTGGTCTCTAGATGGTTTGGACTACAATTCCATGACCACTGTGTTCAGAATTATGAAAACTTGTCTAATTCTACTACCGGGCACCAGGCTGGGAAATGTTCTTTTTTTTTCTTTTTAAATCTTTTTAATTTTTTTTCTTTTAAATTTTTAAATTTTTTTCTTTTTAAATTAAAGCCTTTCCTCATAACAAGATGTTCCAAGCCCTGATCTTGCACCTTTTCCATCTCTACATTCTGTCCTCTGAGTTGCTGTGATCAGGACTGAATTATATGAAGCTGTTTTCACAGCTGTTAAGAAAACTTCCCATATAGTGGAGAAAGGCTAGAATAACCCAGTGTTGCCTTCATAGGTACACTCATGCTCAAAGGAGGGTAAATCTCTTGGTTTCTACTGTTCTCCCATTCATGGCTGCCAGGAGGAAGATGTCACCATTCTTAGTATAATTTTAAAATCATTTCCAGGCTGATGCCACTGGAGGGTGCCCTGTGGATGACAGATGACATTGTCCACTCACAGGAGAACATCTTCCTGTAGTTCCTCGTACTCTTTGTTCACCTCTTCATTGCCTGGTTCTTCTTTAGGCTCTTCTTTTACAGTCTTGCTAATGCTACATCTGCTCCTCAGCTCTGATTCCTTCCTAAAAAGAAAAACAACAAGAATTCCATTTTGTCCAGCTGACCCCAGAAAAGGAGACTCATAATGCAGGCAGAGCAGTCTATCTCTGGTAATGCAGATGGAACTTTAAAGCAACCATAGAGGGCTCCCCTCCCAAGGAGCTGCTTTGGGGTTCCCTCTCTGAAGGCTGGATCCCAATTTGGAGAAGGACTGGAGACAAACAGAGACCTTGGCATTGAAGGGCTGCTTCACTTCACACTGTAATAATCTTTACTGCAAGGAAACTGCTGTTTCCCACATCACTTAAACAAAGTATCGGTGACCAATGGCATCCTCAGACATCCACAGGGGGCTGTAGCCCCATTGAAAAGTATATACACTGCAGGCAAAAGCTTCAGGATCAATCCCTGGTTTCTCCATGTAGGGTTAGGCCTGCCTGAAACTGTGGAGGCATCAGCCAGCGTCACCAGTATTGGGTTAAGAGGGGTGAGGAACTGGTGGCCTTCCAGATATCGGGGCCTACAACTTCTGCCTGCCTAGCCAGCATAGCCAGTGGTGAGGCCAAACATCTGGAGATCCACCAGTTGCTCACCTCTGAACTGTACAACTTAGCACAAGGCAACTTCCTACGTGCCTGCCAGCATACACGGGTTGGGAGCTGAGGTGCTCCAGGGCCAAAGCCTGCATGCACACAAGCTTTTAGAGACATTCACATGGGACATGTTTGCTCTAAGAGACCTCACTGCACCCATGGCAGAAATAATTGCTGTGTTGTGTGAAGTTGACGCCCAAGACTAGGAAGCCAGCCTCTCAAATGCCAGGTTGAAGCCCTCCTCACTTGGCTCTCTGCTCTCGTGAGAGGCCAGACTGTCCCTTCAGGCAGCAGTGATACCATCCTGTTTTTCCCCAAGGATGGCTCTGAAGGGCAAATTGCCTTAATCATCCTTACCCATCTATGCAGTGGCTTCCATCTGTCTCACACTCAGCACTGTTGGTCCTTTGCAGGCTTCGGCGCGAGACGTTAGAAGCTCCAGTATGAAGGAGGAAGTAATTATCAGCAGAGTCTTCTGGGGCGCAGTGGGATTGTCTGAGGGGCAGAAGCACAGACAAGCAGTCACACCAAGGGTAAAGGAAAACAATTTTGCACATAAAGTTACCTCTTCTTGCTATTCCCTACCTTTCTGGGCTTTCCTCTTCTACCACAGTTGGTTTAACTGCTTCCCCCTCAGAGCCATGGCCACTTTCAGGGCTGTGAAACTGTTGCAAACAAAGCAAAACCAAGCAAAACAGGGATGATCATGATCAAAAGAGGACATGTGGCCAAGAAACCTCAAGTACTGTGCAACTCAGTGTTATTTTTATTAGCAGCTTTTGCAGAGAATTGATACAGTCCTGAAAACTGTAGTTTTATTTAGATAGTAGTTAAGTTTCCGGCCCTTGTGCATCAGAGCTTGAAAACCTGAGCAATTAAAGAAAATCCCAAATCTTACATCCCAGACTCCCAGGATCTGGGGAAGAGGATGGGGGTGACTCATAGCTGCTGATCCCCTATGGTAGGGGTGGGGATTATTATTTTTTTCATATGGAGGGCTGTTGACCCACAAGAAAAGTCCATCAGTGACTGCAGCCAAAAGTGTGTAGGAGCTACATCTGATGGTGAGTGAAACCAGAGTCAAAGGTAGGTGAAGTCAGAGTCAAATGAAAGTGGGTTTTGCATCTGATACATCAGGAGGACTCTGGCAACCCTGAGCGGACTTTAAGGATCCCTGATCACACTCCCCAAAAATGGAAGATTCTTTTGCTAACAGGAGCAAACTAATCACAAATAAGAATCTCCAGGGGCTTTGCAAGCCTCAGGCAGATCGTGATCTGAGACCATCTGTGAGAGGTTTGCCAAGGGGTGGAGAGAAACATAATTGTACCTAGATAGGAAGTTGGATGGATTTAACCAGCTGAGGCCTTCTCTGCCCAGGACTGACCTCATACTCCCCTGTGCTAACCCACCCTGCTGATTTTCTCAAATCAGACCAGTTGGGTTAAAAGGAACATTAGTGCAGCTATTTCTGTGCATCATTTTCCAAAACATCAAAAAAGGAGGGTACCACAGGTAGCCCTTCCAAAGTACTGCTGGGGCACCATGGGGGGGGCAATGTGCTGGCTGGAAAACAGACCTTCATAAGATCCAAATACAAGAGGTAAAAATAGTGGCAGCAAGTCAAAAGCAGCTTTGCTTCATGGCATGGAAGAGAAAGGCCTCCGTTGGCCAGCTCCCAAGTGTTGTTTGGGGACTTTTGGAGAGCTGGTAATGGCGCCACTAGGCAACTGCTTGGCAAGAGATTTTTGGTACTCTGCCCAAGCAGCTCCCTTGCTGTGAGGCTTCATCCATGATGGGTCCTGTCACACGACCCATGCTTGGGTGTCATGATAACCCAGCATGTGTCAAACAAAATCTACCACAGACCATTAGTACATACCATGGTTGGCAACCACAGTAAGAATCAACAGTAGGCAACAATGAATAGGTTTGCGAAACACGTCAACCAACCAATGACGACACTCAATATTTCGCTGTCATGCTTTGTGAATCCAGTCAGTGTCATGCTGCTGACTCAGACTTGCTGAATCACCAGGCACTGCATTAGGAGCAGTCACTGGGAACCTTAACAAAGGCTGGTCTTGAAGTTTGGTGCTGTCCGATGGGAAACAATTACCAAAAAACGAGTAAGTTCAAAAATGCCAAAGCATGGAGATAGACAAATTAATTTCTCACTATGCCTTACAATGGCACTTGGTAATGGCATAGTATATGGATAACCCTTAATTAACACTGGATAATAAAGAGTTGCTTCACTAAGTTCAGGGAGTAAAAACAGTTCTGATCTCCTATCTGAATAAACAGTAGGTGAATTCCAAACAGTTTTTTGAGTAAAAAGAATATAGAATGCATGGCCACTTTGAGTGACTTCTTTCTTAGTAGAAAGATGGAGTATGAATCTGATTTTATTTTTTTAGCAGTTTGGCAAGAAAGATAGCAGTGTGTTTTGGCTTGATGAACATACTTAAGCAACAAGATCAGACATTTTCCTTCTTGGGGGTAAAAAACACAGCATAGAATAAGGGATACCTTACCGTTAATTGTTTGGGAATAACGGCAATGCTGACTCGACGACGAGCCGAACCCTGCAAAGTGGAGGAAGAATTCTGATTAGAGAGCTTGTAGCCACAGGGAGCTCTGGGAGATTGAAGGAGAAGAGAGCATGGCCCCCTTGGGAATATTCTAGCCCCTTCGTTCCACGAACCTCTAGCACAGTTGCGTATGTGTGCAAAAAGTGTGCAGGAAAACTGTGCAGGTGGCTCGCTGATGAAGCACGCCAGTCGCTAATTTGGGTGCTTGCTCTAAGCAAGATGCTTTACAGATAAAAACAGCCAAATGGCCAGCCAAGCCTGCCAAGCCACAGGCAGCGTTCCTTATGGCTGCCTGCATCAACAGGTCACTAGTGTCTGCATGTGTGACATCTGTGACCCACGTATATGCCATGCTAGGATGCTAATTCTGCACGTGTCGACACCAGCAACCCTGTGTAAAGGTGACTCTAGCCATATGCACGGGGAGGAGGTGTGTGCCAGAGGAAACCTCTTTCTGTGCAGCATGAAGCACAGAACAGGCTCTGTTGTCTTCTTTATGTGCATTGTTTGACCCGCTAACCATTTTCTTGCACGCACAAGCAGATGGACAGAACAGGAAGCACTTTGCATAAGCCTCTCTCACTGTTCACCCAGGGAAGAAAGGCATGAAAGAACATTTTGCTTTTCTCAAAGCTCTGTGTGGGAGAAAGTGGTTGACGGCATCAACCTCTGCATGTTTAGACTGGAAGAAAAACCCTACAATACCCAGTATGCTCCAGCCAGGCACGCTGAACACGGCAGGACTTATTTCTATGTAAACACGCAGAGGATTGCATCCTGAGTTGCAAAATAAAGAGGAAGGATCCTTAGGACAGGAGGGACAGCCAGGAAGTCCTTGGAGGCCTGATCATTCTTTCAGCCACGATTTATCTATCATAAACCAAGGTGGCATTCATGCCACAGTTTCCATCCTCCTCTTGCAATTGTTGTCAACGAGTAGTTGTTTTCTTGACTCCAGAACAAGACTCCAGTGCTAACATGAGGCCTTGCTCTAGCAGAAGTGGTCGATTTGTTTCAGTGCTGATAGTGAGTGGGCAGTATCCAACATTTTTGTCTCTGAGGTCAACAAGAGGGTGATTCTGAGTGTCTCTCCTCAGCAGACAAGGAAGTCAAATGACTGATCCATTTGCCTTTTGCTACTATGAACTGCCTTTGGGCAACTGAAGGGCTGGTGCAGGGTTCCCCACAAAGGCTGCGGAGCTGAATGCAATCTCCCCACGTCCAGCCTTACCTGCTGGAACATTCGCAGTGGAGGATGCTTCAGTCTCTGATCACCATCATCTACCAAGAGAACAGACAGGCCTAAGAGAAGGGTCATAACTCACAGCAAAGCATATCCTTTCATACAGAGGTTCGACCTCTGGCTTCTCTAGGTAGAACTGGCAAAGGCCACTCTCTAAAAACTTACTGCGTTCGCCAAGATGGTGCCCTCCAGCTGTTTTTGACCTGAGCTCCCACCAGCTGCAACCAGTGAAGTCAACAGTCAGGACTGCCCTATGAGGAGAGACTGAGAGAACTAGGCATGTTCAGCCTTGAGAAGAGAAGACTGAGTGGGGACTTGATATCCCTCTAGGACCTCAAAGGCTGTCACAAAGAGGAAGGTCAAGATCTCTTCTGGCTAATGCCAGAATGTAGAACACAGAATAATCCATTCAAGTTGTGGCAACCCAGATTCAGGTTGGACATCAGGAAAAGCTTCCTTACTGTCAGAGCAATACAACACTGGAACCAGCTGCCTAGAGAGGTGGTGGGTTCTCCCACACTGGAGACATTAAAAAAGAAACTGGACAGCCATCTGAGTGGGATGGTGTAACTGGTGTCCTGCAACAGCAGGGGGTTGGACTCGATGGCCTTCATGGCCCCTTCCAACTCTTCTGTGATTCTATGACTGTAAGGAACTGTTGCTCAAAGCATCTGGAGGCACCAGCTTGGAGAAGGCTGCCATAGACAGTTCTGGGCTAGGTGTCCCAATGCCCTGATTCAGAATAAGGCAGCTGCTTATGCTCCTAATCTCTACAAACTTATTATGGCAGAATTCTATAAAGTCTGCCTTTGGGCTCAAGCCAGCCATACTGGCCAGGGCATGCTCAGAGCTGTGGGACTAATGGGACCTCATATGACCAAATCAGAACATAAAACAGCTGTTGTCCCTCATATTGGTGTAGTCTCCCATCAACTTGGTTCTTGTTATTCTAAAGGACTGTAAGCTGCCATTATTTTTAAATGACTTTGAATTTAAAGCCAATGCACAATGTATTGCAGTCAAACATAATGGTTTACTGGAGATTAAATTAATGGTAGTTCCATGATTTTAGACTCTGAGAACTGTGGAAGAGGGACCATTCCAAAGTAATGTGAGCACTCAGTTTTACTGCATCTCATTTTTCTTTGTTTGTCTTTTTAATAGCCCCTTGGAAACAAATGTTTGCACATGTTTCTGGAGAGGGAGTGTCATATTTAAAGCATACTTTAGATGTAACTTATGCTACTGTCAGTGAAATAACAAGGTCAAGCAACAGTTCAAGCAACTCAGATGGCTTGAGTCTCTAAGTATAGTTTTCTGTTTCACTTGAACTAGGAACTGATGGTGGAAAGAGCAATCCTATAGTCTCTGGAGATGCACCCTATCTATCTATCTATCTATCTATCTATCTATCTATCTATCTATTTTCCATACCATCATTTATTTGAGAGAATTTCATGACAGTTTACAAATCTCATGATGGTTTTGATGACCAGAGGATGGCTCAGAAACCTCTCCAGAAACAACCTCAGCAAAGTGAGCAAATGCAACCTATACCAAAAAAAAGCTATTTCTACACATGCACTGAGTCACTTGCATCAGCCCTTTCCTTGTATAATTTGACATTTCTGTTCATGTGCTGCATTGATTGAATTATCCTTTTCCTTGCACAAGTCAGTGCTGCTTTCCTCTTGCCACTTCTGCTCTGGTTCCACCAGGAGGAGAACTTAGCAGAACTTCCCTGCCCTAAATCTTTGGTCCACCTACAGTGTCCTTAGCAGCTTCTCTCATGCCACCATAGCTCTAGATCCAAGGATCCCAACCACATGATTCCAAACTATTGTGCCTAACAACATTTTCATACTGTGCATGTGCAAAAGCTGATTTATAGGGAAGGAGAGCTTGCTCTGAGGGAGAACACTTGTCTAAACCTACAAGGGTGAGTTTGTTTATTTTCCAAGTAAATAATGAACTCATTCCTGGTAAGTTGACCCATCTCTAGTTACAGTCTAAATGCAAGAAGGTCAACAGTGGATTGGGTGGGGACAGTTTGTGTATCCCAGTCTCCTCTCCATGAACCAGAGCTTCTTAATGCCTGAAGAAGGCTTTCAGCAGGTAGCAAACCAAACTCTGCATTAAAGTGTGAAAATTCTCACAGGCACAGCACTGATAAGAGCTCAGCTGAGCTGTTTCGATTAATGGTACCTTCAGTCTCTAAAATATCTCTCTTTCTGGATCTCTCCTCCCTGGCACTGGTTGCTACCTAAATCTCAAATAAATGATCTCAAAGTTAAGTGATGAAATATTCCACACAATAAGAGTAATTTCTCGTATACTGTAAGGGAAACACTAATGAAAGTTTGGGAAATGAGCCAAACTGGAATATTCCTTTCCTTTTCCACTTCCCTTAAGTGAAACAGAGCAATGACAAAGCAACTTGAAGGGACAAAATACACTTGAAGTTAAATGGAATGTTTCACATCCAGAATCCAGGTTTTAACAAATGCAAATTGCATCGGCTAGGCTGGTACTGGTGCTGAAATAAAGAATGGGATCAGTGGGGGCAGTGGAGTGGGGATTACCCCTTTCCTGCCCTTTCTGCAAAAGAACATTCTTTTTCTGAAGCTACTGTTTGCTTTTGAGAAAATCCTGACGTGTGGATTTCATGCCAAAGGAAACACCTGCATCAAGAGAGAGATGCTTTTTTTCAGGTCAGAAGCAGGAGAGGAAAAGGTTCAAATCCATTAATTAATTCCATTAATTAACTAAGTTTTAAGTGCCAGTTCAATAATCCTCTAACAATTTAACAACCCTTTAACAAGGTGTATGCTTGTTTTCAAAGCCTATTTCAATTTAAATAGGGAGAAGAGGGGCCAGGACAAAAGAAACCCCTCAGCATCCCTTTCCTATGGGGTAGGCCATCATTCTGAATAAAGCTTCAAGTTGGTTCACAAACAGCTTAACAGGCACAAGCCATACAAAATATTGTCAAGCTCACATTTGGATGAGGAGCTCATAGGCATTATCAAACAGAGAAGGAAGGAAAAGGACACACGTTTCCACAGAATTTACATATATTCATTTCTGTGTAAATATGCGCATTTTGAGTGACTAGAATTTCAATAGAAGTGCAGGCCGTGCTGGGGCGTGTGAGGCTGCTCCATCAGCTGTTGCCCAGGTGCTCTCTTCTCACAGCTCTTGCTGTTTGAACGGGCTTTGGGCGGACAGCTCTTCGGACAGGGTGGGCCCATGGCCAGCCAGCATCAGAGGTTATGAAGCAGCAGTAGGGAAGAGTTGCTTCTGTGCCTCTGATAACTGAAATGCTTGCCTCTGACCTATCTACAGTGAATTGCAAATGCATGCTTCTCACTGACATGACATCCAGAGACACATCCTTGAGAAACAAGTACATTCATTATCCACTTGCACACGGACGTGTCTTTGTGGGCTGGAATGCCAGTTGCACAAAAACAAGCTCCATACAAGTGGCCCCTGGAAATTTGCTCCAGTATCAGATGCCTTCCTCTTCCCATGGCTCCTCTGTTGGAGCATCAATGCCTGCGTTCTATTCTAATATCCCGCCTTCCTTCCGAAGAGCACAGACATTTGCACATGAGCTGACCCCGCATGCAGAGGCTGAGCCCAACTCACCCCTGTTTTCTGCCAGCTGCCGGTTGCGGGAGTTCTGTTGAATCAACCTCTTCATCTCCTCAAGCTCCGTGTGCTCCCTGAGGTGGTGCCTTTTCAGGTTCTCCACATGCTGCACCATCACCTCTGTGGCCCGGCTCATGCGTGCCTCCTGCAGAAGCAAGGCGAAGGAACGATTAGATGAAAGCAGCGGGCACATCCTCTGTGAAAAAGCCAGCAGAACCTTCATGGAGGGAGCCTGCAGGTTTCTGCCATCATATGAAAAATGATCTTGCCCAAGTCCAATTGAAAGTTTGAAAGGCAGGAGACTTGGAGTAGGGCCCACACATCACAACCCTCCTTACTATGGTTAGATGTGTTGAATTTATATTTGAATTACAGTGATTATTTCTAAATTTGCTTTTCTCTTGGTAAATGAACCAATACACATTTATGAAAATCTGTGACCATGTATACATGGCCACTCTGTCTGAAAACACTTCATTCTTAGCACGGCAACAGAGCTCACACATGACATTTCCTGGTTGACCGATGCAGCCTTCCTTACCCTGGTACCCTCCCCATGTGGACAAGCTGGCTGGGATGGGAGTTGCAGGCCAACACATCTGGAAGACACCAGGCTGGGGAAGGTTGGACTGATGGATGCCATAGTAAGTCTCTATCAAAGCGTAGAGTTCAATCATCGTCATCATTGGTAGAGTATTCAAAGAACAACATTATTTCAAAATAGTACTATTGCCCTGTATGGCAGGGTGGGGTCAGAGGAACTAAGGCTGAGATACGATGGATTGCCTAAAAGCCACTTAGCAGGTTAAAAGCAGAGGGAAGAATGGTACAGAGGACTTCCTAGTCAATGACTCATTCCCTCAAGAGTACAATCTGATTCTTTTTTAAACAGAAAACACTTGTAGAACTTTTTCTGTCTAAACATACATAGGATTGCACAATTAACTCCGAAAACAAAAGTGACTCTTTTAAGGGGCTTCAAAGCTTCACACAATTTCTTTAGGTATGAATGGGCATGTGAATCTATACAGAGGCAGAGACCAACTTGTAGGGCAGCTTTCCCCAACCTGGTCCCTTCCTGATGTTGGACTACCACCCCCATCATCCCCAGCCACTATGCCATTTGCCTGAATGCAAGAGCTACACAGGGAAAACATTATGCTTGGTTTTGCTCTTGCATTGTGCCCTTCAACCACATGGACTCACGGTGCAGTTGGCACAAAGTACTCCAAGTCACATTATTTTGATGCCTTCCGCTTACATGCGTGACCCTAGCAAAAGAAATTGACCTGATGGACAGCTCCTAACTTCTCTGCAGCAGCGTTTGCCCGCTCAATTGCTGCTTCTAGGACTGTAAGACTATTCTGCAAGTCTTCCAGCAGGTCCTTGTGCTTGGCATCCACACAGGCCTGGTCCAGTTTCTGGTAGGATAAAAAGAAGACCGTCATTCCTGCATTCATGGAATATCAGCTAAACTCCTGCTTGGGGTTCTTCACCAGACCTAACCAAACAGGCAGCCCCAAAGATGAGATTACACATAAGCTACATTGCTTGCACAAATGTTTAAACAGGGATGCTTAACTTCATGCCTGGGGCCAGATCTGTCCCTCTGAGGGTCCTCAGATGGCCGCACTCCCTTCCCTGTTTCATTGTGAGGTTCTCACTCCATGCTGCCCCCAGACATTTAGTGGCTTCTCAGCTTTTGTGCACTATCCCAATTCTAAATGGCTGGCATGCCCCCCTAGGTCTACGTAAACCAGAATTGAAACGTGTTGGTGTTTTTTGTCTACCCTTTTTGCCTTTGGGGCTGCCCACCACTGGAATGTGGCCACGGAGAGTGTGTCCAGAGTTGACTTCAGCCCTCCAGCTAGAAGAAGACCAGCACCTCAGTCCTTGTCAATGGCACTGCAGGCACTGAGTTAGACCCAAAGAATGTTAGCTAGTTGGCCCTATTGAAATCAATGGGACAAGTAAGATGTGACATGAGTTAAGCCCCATTGATTTTGATGGGGTGCAAACACAACTAACCGTTTCAGGAGCCAACCCATTCTTTGTTGCTCCCTCCCTCATGTTAGTTCTTTATGGAAATGCGATGCTACAGAAGAGCCCAGTTCCCTTAGAGTTGCAAGAAAATACAGTCAAAACAACCAAGAGGACCATAAAACGTCTTTGCTGACCTGCAGTGTTGTCCGGCACTGCTCTAGCTCCTGCTGAATATTCTCCTCAGATGTGTTCCTTGCCCGCTCTTCTACTTGCACCCGTCGCCGCAGTGTGAACATGTCACAACGGAAGGCCAAAGCCAAGTGTGCAAAAGCTGCCTGCCAAGCAGAGGAGGCAAGCGAAGCGAAGTGAGCTTCTGAGGAAACTCAACCAACCTTCGACATTCAAGCAGAGACTTCTCTGAGGAAAATTCCCCAGCCCTATCTCAAAAGCAAAATGTTTGGAGGCTAGAGGGGAATGTTTATGGACCAGATTGGGTTGGAAAAGGAAAAAGACTACTGAGTTTTCCCTCTCCCCCACACACTTTTTTCACTTTTCATTTTTTTCTGGAGGAAAAGAAAAGGCTTGATAGCACCTGCCAGTTTCACCTCAGTGGTCAGTAGAAAAAACCTTCAAGGGAAAATCAGCGCCTCACCTATTGGGCTATATAAAAATGAAATAAATAAATGTGTCTTTAAAGCCAAAGTTCAAAGGATTTGCCTGGACACTGGTCAGGCTGGTCATCCATGTTAGGCTAGCCTCCCACAACTTGGTGTCCTTCCACTGCTGGCTGTGGGATTATGGGAGCTGTGATCTGAAACATCTGCAGAACATCAACCTGCAGGACACTGTGTTGGAGTCACAGAAAGACAGGGTAGGATGTGTGTCACTGAGAAGCAGTGCCCAAAAAAACCCTATGCTCACTTCTGCAACCACATTCCCACCAAGGGCAGCAGGATCAGAGGATCAGATCCTCTGAGCCAGTGGCTAGCTTCCAGCCAGAAGGCAAAGTCCTCTGATGTAGCTGTGAGACCAAAGCCAGGCATTAGCAGCAGCAGCAGCTGCTGCTGATCTAATGATAACAAGAACCCTGTAACATTTTGTGGAACAGCTTGAAGCTACACATAGAAGGTGACATCCAGCCACCTGCGGAAGAGCAGAACTCACCTCCACATCCTGTTCCGTCAATGCCACTCTGCAGAGGAGAAGCATAGAAAGCAATGAGGAACAAGACCTTAGAGACCTGGCAGAGCAGAGCAGAGGCACAAGGGAAAATCTGTGGCTTCCAACCTGCACAGGCTGAAGCAATACGACATGCTTTCCCAACCTGGTACCTTTCAAATATTTGCAATTTTAAATCTCATTAGCTCAGCTGCTAAGGCCAATAGTCAGGAATGCTGGGAATTGTAGTTCTAGAAGGCACCAAGTTGGTGAAAGCTGCTGCAGAGTAGCTAGGGAGCCAGATGCAGGAAAAAAATCCCCATCTTTGATCTTCCTAGTGACAGAACTTCCAACAATAATAGCTCAGAGGATCTGGATGGGAATAGTTCAGATGGATTTCAGTGCCAGCATTAGCCCAAAATAATAAGAGAACAGCTCTGGCAATAATATGGTAAGATTCCCCATGGCTTTACAACCAGCCCTCCAGATGATTTAGACTACAACCCCCTGCATTCTTGGCCATTGGCCAGGCTGGCTGGAACTGATGGGAACTGATATCTCAAACAGACTGTGGAAAACAGCATTACAATATTCTCTGAGATTCTTTTAAATTTTATATGATGCCAAATGCAACTATTGGCTTTCACCTGAGTTTTGGGGTCATTTTCATGCCACCTTTGTAAAACAGCTGGCACTTTTTAGAGTGCCCTTCCTGCTCATGAGAAATGGGCAGGCACATGGAGGCTTCCTACCTGTGCAGGCCTAACCTTTGCAACACAGAAAGTTCCATCATGGAGGTACTCAGTGAATCTTCAGAGGTATCAGTCTCTAGACAAGAAACAGCAAAAAAATGATCTGGGAACAGAGCATAAACTAGAGCCAGACAGAGAGAATCAGTGACTTTTGAGTTGCTTTTGTGAATCGATCTATTTGACTGGGAAATGCCAAGGTGTGAAGGCCAGTAATGGGAGACTGGTCAAAAACACTTGTATTTACAAGTTATTGGGTATCATACCCTTGATTTACAGAATACCAGCTACTACAAACTGCTGCTGGAGTATTATAGTTTTCATACATGCAACCTAAGTGAATTTTTACAATGAACACATATATCTTATGTATGTTGTATGTATACAGAATATACTACTGTTATTAGAAATACTTAGACAAAGACTTAAAGGCAGCCACGTATTTGTCTATTTGTAAATTAGGCCTAAAAATAACTCATCTAAAAATAAGCTTAATCAGGACTTCAAACCATTGTGTTATTGCAGATAATAGTACAATTGAGAAAAAACAAAGAAAAGTGTGAGAAAGCTCAGGAGAAAGGCCCGAAATTGGAAGTCACAAGAAATGTGCAAGCCTTTGTACTACAGTGCACTGCACTTCACAATACTGGATACAAGTGAAAGTGGAGGTGAGTTACAGCTGTGTATAGTCTGTAGCTTTCAGTTGTGAATGCTCAACAAGAACATTCAAGAAAGCGGAAGAATTCAAAGGAGCACAACAAGTGTGAAGAAAGCTGTGGCTAGGTACAGTTTCACTAAACACGGATGGGTGGTAAAGATGGTACAACAAGAACTGTGCAGGGCACAGCTATGGAACCCTCAGTGGAGGGAACCATCCTTCTTAGGGGTGAGAAAGAAATGTGTTTCCCCTTGGGGGTAGGAGAGAGCCAGAACTGGGGAAATATGGAAGTATAAAAGGAAAGCAGAACAGGGAGAAGCAAGCTGAAAGAGAAGGAACTGATCTCTGGAAGATGCTACAAACTCTGAAATCCTAATGGGGGTGGGGGGAAGGTAAGGGATGCTCTCTAGCAAAGGAGGGAGGCACTCCAAAGCTTGGGGAGCAAATGACAAAAGCAATAGTGAAAGCTCACTCACCAACCTTCATCGCTCTCACCGCTTTCTTCAAAGCGCACAGCATGTTCTTTGTTCCCAGACTTATCCTTCTTTGCCTGCTCTTGGGGTCTCATAGCACAAGGCTGTGAAGGGAGGGCAGTAGTTACAGATAAAGACAGACAGACATTCTTCAGGTGACTCTGTAGCTAACAATCTCCTAGGGAAAAGAAGTGATGCAAGCAGGAACCAGCATGATGCAACACCATATAACAGACTATAATAAGTTGTACGGGCAGGAAGAAAATAAATCTTTGCACAAGTGTGTTTTGGTTTCAAGACCAAACTTGGGTAGGGTAGAGCTGGGTAGTTTCCATTTGGCAAAGGGCTTAAAGGAAGGGAGAGTCCAGATTATACTGCATTCTGGGTCTGAACTGGAAAAATGAAACAAAACATGGAAGCTCTGTTAAGGATGTCAATAAAGGAACACTGCACTAACCTTACCCTGTTTATGCTTTCAGAACTCTGCCTTCTCTCATCCACCATCCTTTCTGAGCTTCTTTCCAAACTGGCCACCATCCCTGAGGAATCCAGTGAAGGAAAAAGCAGCAAAAAGATTATTCTTCTCTGCAGGAGTAAATATCCATGCAGGCACTGATTTAGCTGCCACTGCATGTGAGATAAACAAGTATGAACCTGGCCAGGTGAGCTGGGCTCCATTATAGCTGAGAAGTGCTATGATGGTAGGCCAAAGGAGGGAAAAGACAAGAGGGATCAGAGCAGAAAGCGACTAGAAGAGTGAAAATGTGCTGTGTTCTGCCCCAGCCAATAGGAACCTGAGAAGGACAAGGAGAACTGAACACGCAAGGAAGTGCCATGCAAGAACACTTTCTATTTGCTCAACAGGTACAAGGGGTCACTTCTTGGAGGCTGCCTCTCCGAAGGACAGCTGATATGTCACAGGTTTAAGGGTTTGAACCGTAGAGAGCTGGTCACACTTTGCTGGCAACTTGCAACCCCAGCCTTTGGGCAGTTTTAAGAAACCACCTCAGGCTAGTGCCCAGTGAAAGTGAGGAATAACCCCATCCTACCCCAGGCCTGTAGATTCTGCCATCTGTTCTAGGATAGTTTAGAATCTTATTCAACAGAGGATGGTCCTGTCCTCTGTCTGAAAGGCTGTCAGAGGACAGTCCTCTGTTTGAAGGCCTCTGTTTCAAGTCCAGTTTAACGATAAAGAACTTTAAGACAGGAATGCAAGAAGGGCTTTGAAGCTGCCCACCAACAGTGAATACTTGGACTGCCAGCCATAAACAAGACGTCACCTGGTCAGTCTTCTCCACTTCAGTGAGATGTACTATGTTTCTATTTAAATTATAGTACTCATTTCTATGTGCATCCATTCATTCAAATCAGCATGTTAAACATTTATGCAGATCTTTCTCCCCTTTTCATTAGGCGATGCCTATCTGGCCACCCTATTCCATCCCCAGGTTACTGTACTACCTTACCTGCATCCAGAGACAGCACAGGTCTGCCCAGCTCCACCGGATGCTGTACAGGCATCTCTTTGCTGAAAAGATAAGGCTTAATCAACACCGAGCTCCACCAGCAAGGAGAAGTACCCCCAGCAGGAAGGCACACTTCTCTCAGCCTATCTTGTCACGGGTGTCAAAGCCTGATGGTTTTTGCCACTCCAGGAGAGAGGAGGGAGGAGAGAGAGACCCTTGGAACCCCGATAAGCCTGTGTCCCAACAGAAGCTGCTTCATGCTGAATCCGCAGCATGAGCTGGTCCCATGGACTGCTGCAGGCTTGCTTTGCAATCATCCCCTGGCTCCTTCCAAAGCCTCACCGATGCCGGGCTGGCAGGGACTCAGGAACCTTACCTCTGCAGTACCACGCCGTTCTCCATGCTGGACCAGGGGCTGGCAGCCAGCACTGCAGAGTCCTTGCGGTGACCTTTCCCTCCCTGGTCAACTGGGCAGAGAGACTCCCTGTGAAGGCATCCCCCGCCCCCCAAAGAAAAAGCTGTGAGTCACAAAGCCTCAGCAATGTTTACATTCATCACATTTTAACTACATTGACAAATAGGGCCTTGCAGTCTTCTCTTGTGTTAAGTAAGAATATTCTGACCCAGAGGAAGGAAAGGGAGTGGAAATTAGAGAAAGGGGGACATCTGCTGGGAAGGCTCTAGTATTTCTGCCTCTGAACGGAGGAAGGGAGTAATGAGGCCTGTTTCTCCCTTATCCCAACAATGGTGGGACTTGTAAATTAGAATAAAGTGTGCCACAGCGAACATCTTTGGAAAATCCTGGATCTATTCCTCTTTCTGACACTCAACTTCATCATGAATTATTGTATTGGATAACAGTTGCCCTGTTTTTTAAACCCCATTTGCTCTCTCATTCACTCAGAAATTTCATCTTCAGATAAGCCTGAAAGTTCATTGATTCTTCAATAAGGGATACTGAGGTTTATCTGTGCAGTTTGACTTATGAAAGAAAAAATGATGTTGGTTGCCAACTAAGACCTCACAAAATAAGAGATGTTTCCATGAGGATTTTATTTTATTTTTAGCCAGCAATACCACTAGTCACCCTTCTTCTGCTTAATTGTTGCTCCTTAACCAGACACTATAAAATATTCTTTAATCAAATGACCCTCACTGAACAGACAGAAAATTGAGGCCAAAGAAAACTTGCCCAAGATCTCAGTGAGCTTGGTAAATGAAGGAATGAAGTGATAAATCGCCCACAATGTCAAGGTTTAGATAGTTTATGCCAGCCAAAGTGGAAACTGGAACATGTGTGTTTTACTAGGCTTTTCAGCCTGAAACTTTTTAATAACTTTGGGACCTCCCATTGAAATCAATGGGGGGTAGTTATATCAGGTTCAGGTCCAATCCAGGCTATTTGCTCAGGGTAATGAGAGAACTTTGGACCTCCAAACTTGGAACCCCCAGCCCGTAGGCCCCGCCCCTTGTAGCCTACTGCCAAAGAATATTTATGGTGGCAGCTCTTTCTATGGGCATTTTGAGAGTTTCTGGCTTGGACACAGCCACCCCATTGGTGGAAGCCTTCTTCACTGGCAGAGGAGCAACTCTGCTGCATTCTTACCCTCCTCAGGACCAAACTAAATGGTATCTTCGCACGTATTGTGCCAAAGATCTCTTTAATCTGCATAAGCACACCTGGCTCCAATTCAAATTGGGACCACAGCACTGCAGAAGCCTTTAAGCTTCCTGCCCTATTTCTGTTCCAAGCACATCCACAGGGGGTATTGACAGAAGAAAAAAGAAATCTCAATCAGATTCCATTTGAATTGGGTTCCCAAATACTTATATGGAGGTTCAAGGAATCTAGCACACATAACTCCAGAATAGCGTGGGCTCTCCCACACTAGAGTCATTCAGAAAGAAACTGGATAGCCGTCTGAGTGGGATAGTGTAAACTGGTGTCCGGCAACAGCAGGAGGCTGGACCTGATGGACTTCTTGGCCTCTTCCAAGACTGGTATTCTACCATTCCAGTGCTAGAGAGAACATTCAGTTTGGCTTTCTGATGGTTGTGTTGGGTGAAGATTGCTCTGTCATTCAAAATCTGGCAAAGCAGAAAATATGTGAATCTAGGTTTTCCCATCTAATGCCCCAAGCTAGGGACAGAGTATTGCATTTACTCCAAGCCTGTCATAACAGAAGACTTCATACCCAACTATTCTCCTGCAGACATAACACTTCTACGCTGGAAATGTCATGCATCGGGTGTGTGTATCCTTACTTTTCATTGTGATTTATTTCCAACATTAATAAGCCACCTTTTAGGCAATTTGCTTTCAAAGCAGCTCACGCTGACTTGGTCCACATATAAACACTTGGTGGTGCCTAGACCTTGATTCTGTGGGTTCCCATAGACTTCTCTGGGGAGGACATTCAATAAATGAGACTATCACCAAAGAGGTCCCTCTAACTGGCCATCTTCCTCACCTGGAGAAGAACCTCAGATGAAGATTCAAGCAGGCGCATATGAGAACCCTCAAGTCCCAAAGCCTAAAGAGGTTTAAAGGCTGCACCCAGCACTTCGAATGGTACCCAGAAACATTGTAGGTCAGTCAAGCTCTTTCACTACTTGTGAGATATGTTTGTCAATAATCTAACCATCACTTGTATTAACATGATCATTATTTATAAACCATTTTCCACCAAAGCAGCATACAGCATTTCAAACAAAAGCAATAACACCTATTGTTTGTTACTTTAAGATAACAAAACCATATTCAAACAGCATTAAAACAACAGCTCAGAACTTAACAGGCTAAATGAAATTGTTGTTGCTTAATTCCTTTCCAAAAAGCTGAGGCAGCTCTGAAATAAGTTCAGTTGGATGCATGTAGTGAAATACGAACTGGACACTGACGTCCAGATGTCTTTGCAGTTTATACAAGAGTCTAGCAGCTCCCTAATCAAATTCAGTTCAGCACTGACCCAGGGAATGTAGACAAGTTTGCAGGGCCTGCAACACAAAACTGCCTTATGGAGGCTTGTTTTTAATTGTTCCCAGGGTAGCAGCCTGCACTTGGCAAGTTACTAAGGTACAGTAGTTTTTTGTGTAACTATCACTATGTTTCACCGATGCTGCATTGTTTCACATTAAATAAAATGAAAGGCATAATAGAGGCAAACAGCATCTGAATTCTATCCCTACCCCCAAATATCAGATAATGAAATGACTATACATCCAGATTTATTGTATGGACTCAGTGATGCATGCATCAAACACAGACTTTCCCCAAAGTCACATTAATATATCCAGGAAACCAGTGAAAGCCACTGCCTGCGGTGGTGGTAGAACTGGTTAAATAAAATCCTCTCATAGCCGTGCATCTGCACTCAGAAGGAACAGCCATATAAGAACAATTACGCACTGCAAATAAGCTGTCATATAACACACTCACGAAATACATACCTCCATGTTTTGTGAATTGTTTCAATTTGTTTGGTTCAAACACTCTCCAGGGTCACTCCAAATGCCATTTACTCTATACGAGGCACTGTCATTCTACAAGCAAACTGACAACGTACAGAGGAGAGCACAAAGCACCATGATTGTTTACTGTTTCATCTTGCCTTCCATGCAGGCGTCTTTCTGAGGGTCCCAAGATGGCTTTAAAGAAGTAGCTGTCCAAAAGGCAAGAGAAGGGAGGAGGCTATGGAGGAGTTGTCATAGCTGCATCACCACCGCCGCCATGCCTAATGGGACATTCTTCTCTTCTGAGAGCACCTGTTTATGACTTCTCTTTTCTCACACCCTGTTTATCGTCACTGCAATACACAGAAGCTATTGGAAGCTCCTTCTCCGAAGGCTTTCGCATGGAAAACAACTATAATCCAGGCCAAGAGCATAAAGTGAAGGTAGAAGCAGCAAGCAGGAAGAGAATGCTAATCCCTTTCCCATCTAAGGACCCTTAACCATATCTGGCCCCTAAATGTCCAACTTCGAAATCCAGAAATGGGCAGGACAAGGATGGATTCAGACGTTTGTTGCAGGTTATTCGTACATCAAAGCCCTTTTTCTGCTCAAGTGAATCTGGGTTTAGGTTTGGAAGAGTTGGCATTTCTTTCCATTTAGACTACTGAATATGGGGTGCTTTCACAAGGGTTTTCCCCACAATGTAACTGAAAAAAAGACATTCCATGGAAGAGTGACAGGGTTGAGCCATGTGATTCCACTCTTGCAAGATCACACGACTACAGAAATAAGAAGAAAGGTTCATTATTGAAACTAATTGTTTTGTATGGTTGCCAAAGTGATGTACAACTCACACAACCTTACTATATAAGATAACCACAACATGTGCACACCATTGAACAAAGCACAGAAAAACCTATGAAGAAGCAAAGCATAAGTATTTTATAAAATATATCTGATATTTAACAGTTTTCTGTTTTCAACAAAACTCATCCTTGGACATTTCCTTCTCCAAACCCCGAGCTCTACTGCACTATTCTTGTTTAGAAATCCCCCTCCTCCAACATGTGTCCTCAAAGACTTGTTCATCTCAGTACTTAGCTAATATTTAGGCGTGCTAATTCTCTTCAAGAGCATTTTTCTGTGATGCCCTGACCCCCTAGAAAGACGTATTTGCTTTCTACTCCCCTAAATTGCATTTCAAGTTCAGTTCAGCACATGTTCAAGCAGAGGGATTCAAGGCACAGGATGGCACTGTTCTCAGACCTTCTGAATTTTACTTTCCCCACCTGCACATCTAATCGAAGGCCAAATGTCCTACCTGGATAGGGATGTGAGGCTGATCAAGCGCTGAAAGGCAAAAGTCTATGCATGAGCCCTGAAGGGAACTTCCGCAAGTGGGAGCTTCCTCTTCTGATGATGAAGATGAAGGCAGCAAAAGCTCTTTGCCCTTAACACAAGCACCAACACAGGAAGGCCAGCCTGTAGTGCCACTCCTCTGACTGCCTCCTTGAAAGCAGACTTCCTTCTCACTGCTATCTTTGGAATGCATTTTTGCTGCTGCTGGAGAAGCCCCTTGTTTATAAGCCGGATGGCTGCCGACTTGTAAACACTGTGCGCTTGTCATGGTTTCAGCTCCTCCAAGCCATATGTTAGAGAAGCTTATACTCAGACAAGAAGATTTTTCTTGATTCCACTGTCTCGTCCTAGGAAGGGAGTGCCATACTGCAGCCAGAAGAATAAGGCAGTACTTTGAAAAGAGTGGGAACGCTGGCCTAACTAGAAGATGCCAGAAGGAAGGCTACTGCTGCCTCCAAAAAGCAGATTGTTTCAGAAATCACATCAGCGTCATTCGAAGACATTTAAGCAGATGCTGTCTCCACAGTAACCCCAATAAAGCATGTGTAACCATTTCCAGAAGAGAGCTATTTTAGTCTGTTGGGGCAAGAATGATAAAGAGCAACAATTTTGTTCTGGCTTAAGCTTTCATGGACTACAGCCCAGTTGATCACATCCATCTGAACATGTGCTGGACGGAAGTCAGCGAGGTGTGGTGAAAGAGCTGCACAAGGGACCTGGAAGAACCAGGTTCTAGTCCCTACTTTGCAATAAAGCTCACTGGGTAACTTTGAGCCAGTCAGTCTAACTTACCTCACGAGGTTCTTGTTGTGAGAATAAAATAGAGCTCTCTTATTTTAGAGCTATTTTGGGTTACTCACAAGAGGAAAAGAGGCAGGATATACATGAAATGTGATAGTAATAACAACAACTCAGTATTCAGTTGATAGATCATTTTTTAAAAACTGATTGTTTACAAAAATTGAGTGGGAAGAACAATATTAGAAGAGGAATCACTTCCCACCCCCTTGATCTTCCTGTCATTCTCATTCACACACACTTGTTCCTTCCAAATTGGTGCTTTCTCCTGTGACATCCATTCTAAAAGACTGCTATATTCCCTCCCCTCTCAGAAACATTTCTTCATTCATATGTTTATGCTGACACTATATATCCTTTCACATGTGGTCTCTCCCAGGGTGCTGGAGTACACCTTCTTCTTCCTAGGCGAGTGATGGTGAACCTTTTAGAGACCGAGTGCCCAAACTGCAACCCAAAACCCACCTATTTAACACAAAGTGTCAACACTGCAATGAAACCTGAAAACTGAGGTTTTATTTTAGAAAAAACAACTCACAGCCAGTCCAAGCAAATCTCTCTCTCTCTCTCTCATTCTCTCCTTGGCAGCATTCTGACCGGCCATGTGAAAGCTCAGACAGGTCACAGCCAATGAGTCATGGCTCGTGACATCATCACCTGGCGCCGCTACTCCTTTCTGAGCATGTGCATGGCCCCTGTGTGCACTGTCATCCGATGCCTGGCTGCTGGAGGGATGCTGGGGCAACTTGGCTCACGTGCCAACAGAGAGGGCTCTGCGTGCCCACTGTGGCACGTGTGCCATAGGTTCACCACCACTGCCCTAGGCCATGCTGGATGGGGGATGCTGGGTGTTGTAGTCCAACACATCTGGAGGACACAAAATGAGAGAAGCAGAGATTAAAACTTGAAGGTTGCGATCCTATGTGTGTCTGTAGCTGTTACTTGTCATCAAGTAGTCTTCAATGTATGGTGACACTATGAATGCCCTCCAAAATATCTTGGGCTTGACAGCCCTGCCTAACTCTTGCAAACTAAAGGCTATGCCTTTCTTTAGGAACTCATTCCAGTTCGTATTTGGTCTTCCTCTTCTGCCTTCGAATTTCCCAGCATTATTATCTTCTCCAGGGAGTTTTGCCTCCTCATGATGTACCCAAAGTATATCAACCTCAGTTTCATCATTTCCAGGACAAGTTCTGGCTTCATTTGATATGGGACCCACTTGTTTGTCTCTCTGTCGTTCCAGGGCAATTGCAACACTCTCCTGCAACATTATGCTTCAGATGCATCCATTTCTTTCCCCTCTTGGATACACTCCTCACCATGGTGACATTATTTGGGTATGTCAGAGAAGCTGAGAACTACCAGGAGGCCAGACTCTCTCACTGGTCTGGTGTCCCAGCACGGTCACCCAAACTGCAATGGACAGAGCTGAGACACCAGGTGAAGCTGCATCCACCCTCTTCAGGAGTAACAATCATATTAGCAGAAGATAATGGATATCTGCAAAGATGATGGGGGCAGAGAAATTCCTGAAGGGTGGTCACTGGACCGCAGTGGTAGCTGAAAGATTGGAAGATCTTTCACAGACAGTGTTGGTGACACTCAAGCTAATGCTTGTTTGTGCTGCACAGAAGAGGGCAAGTGCAAATCACTTTGAATATTCTGACCTTGAAAACCAGATAATCAAACATGCATGTTTAGATGGGAAAAAGTCCTACCCAACAAACCCTACCATGCTCAGTTCTCTTTGACTAGCCATGCTGGCTAGGGGAAGCTGTAGGACCTTTTTCTGACAAAAAAAAAAATACCTAGGACTGTACCCCCATGGATGAAAACTAGAGTAACACAAACCGTTTTTGGTTGAGAACCCACAGTTCCACAAAACATATGTAACATTCAAGCTAGTTTGACCCCAGTGGTATTTTTCTGTAGCTTCAGGCAGCCAAATGGCAAAGGGCAGCCCTGCTTTCTGACCTATTTTTTTCAGTGCTGAACTACATTATACAGATACCCTCTGACAAAATCCTCCCCCAGCCTTCAGTCCTTCCTCAAAGCAGCTTTGTTCCTTTTGATCAGACATAAGCTGCAATGATGTCTGTCTCTGCCTAAGGTTAAGCAGTCGTAACTGGCTGGAAAAAAGCTTCACCTTTCCTTGATGTCACATTTCTCAAGGCAATGTCAAAGCAGGATGCAGCTCTCCAAAAGTGCTTTTCAGGACTTCCATACAAAGCATTTCTCATGCAATTTCTCTGCCTCAGACACAGGAACTTACAGGGCCTCCAGATGTCAACACCTCCAACTTGAAACCATTCCCATGTCTTCTCACTGCTCCTTCCATCATTTTTCTTACCAGGGCCAAAAAGCAAAGGTGAAAAAACATAAAATAACCACTCTTTGCCTTTTGATTGGTGGCAGTAGGAGCCCTGTCTGGAAGCACCTTTCGCCTCACATTGTCAGGACAAAATAAAGTTTTAAGTCTTCCATTTTCTGCTCCATATGTTTTATTTTGTAATAAAACGGCAGGTGATAATGAAATTATACAAGGGTGTATATAAAACCAGTGAGCAACTTGTGGACCTCCAGATATTTTAGTTTACAGCTCCTGTGATCCCTCACCATAACCTATCCTGGCTAAGGCTGATGGAAGTTGTATTATTTATGCATTCTCAAATAACAAATATAAAATAGCTAAGAGCACAATTCTATCAAGTTGCCACCCACTAGAAAAAAAGCCTTTGATCTTGGAAGTTTCTGGGATTTCGCCAGGCCGCAGCCAAGCAGTGCAGGATACAGCGTCCCCTTTTTTTGCTTTTTCTTTTCTTTTAAATGGGCCTCTGAGCCTCCCCTTTTCATGGATCACTGCCTTGTCGTGGCGAAGGGGCTTG